ATTTCAAAAAATAAAATCTCCTTTCGTTTCCCGTAACGACGTTAAAGCTTCTTGAAAATGGCTTAAGTGCGCATTTCCATTGCTCTAGCTGGAAAATCAGTAAGTAAAGGCGATGGAGAGTTGATGATGCAAAAATACACTACATTACGTCTCAACAGGGTCTTACGTATTTTATTCATGAATGATAGTCTTTGAACCGGAAGTCCAAGGGTTACTGCAATGCGCTAAATTAGAGAAAATTCGACCTAATCATCTGAAAAACAGGCATTTAAAAATGGTAAAGAATAATTCTTTCGCTTAGATCTCGATATTGATTAACCTATTGTATCCTAGAAATTCAGCTGCTAATGTTGTTTAGGACAGTCTTGAACGTTGTAATTGAGTGGCTGGGAGGGGGGTGTTTTAAAAGTCATATGTTACTTAGTAAAGTTAAAAGATAAACATTTAATATTTTTATCAAATCTCTGATGTTCTGAAAAGTGAATTAAGCCTTACTGTATTCTTTTTTTTTTAAAAATCATAAGATAGAAAATTCAAACATTTGTAGATTACTGCTTGTTGCGTTTCTTTTGCGTGTCAGTATACATTGAACTGATAAGCGATCTTCTCCTTATATGGGTTGTGGGGAGAGCGCTGGACAAAGAGAAATATGGCGGCCTATGCCTATTTATGGAGAGTGTTCAGCTTTAAGGACATAGTTATGATGAACAAGAATGCTTCTACCAAAATTGTGAATTTTATGGCCCAAGGGTCAGGGGTTATGGTGTTAGGATGTGGCTCTATAATGATTATATGGTGAAAATACATTACATCTAAGAAAATCTTTTTCTCTACTCCTGGGTTATAAGCAGAATGAACTATTTACATAGTTATAATGGGATGGGCTCTTCTTCCAGAATTGTGAATTTCACGACCACTGGGTCAGGGATAACAAAATGGGGAGGGGGGGGGGCTCTACTTATATAGTGAAAATGAATTGTTTGAAATCTGCTCCTTGGTATTAATCAAACATTTTTGATAAGCAAGTGTGCCTTTTCAAAAATTGTGCAATGTGTAGACCTAGGGTCAGGGGTTCATGTGTGGTAGGAACACTCCTGATTATTGCTGAATATTACTGATTACTTGATATACTTTTTTGTTCCCCTACCCTGCTTATCCATATTAAGTAAACAAACTAAACAATTGCTAAGTGTATAATCATGATAAGCAATGGTGCCTCTTTCAACATTCTGAATGCCATAGCATTTAGCTTAAAACATGAACCAAATTCAATCATTTTACAGTTCTTGCATGATGCTCAGGTGACCTATAAGGCCCATGGGCCTCTTATCTTGATTATCTGCCCTTGTGGAGGGAATTGTCCCTTTATTTTAACAATTTAAACTCCCCTTGAACAAAAGACGCTTGACCTAATGGTTCTTGAGAAGAAGTTGAAAATGTGAAAAGTTGAAAAAAGTTTACAGACGGACAGACGACAGACAAGATTTGATCAGAAAGCTCACTTGAGCCTTCAAGTCAAGTGAGCTAATATTTTTTTCCTCAGACAAAAATGTTGGACACACAGCTGGAGAGATGGATACATGTAGAATGATTCTAAACTTCATTTTTCAATAACCAGATACAAAAGCCATGTGATATTTACATCTACTGAATATTTATCCTTTATTCCTTAAGAAAACCATTGCGTTAATCACTGCATGAAATACAGTAGGCATGTCGCCTGAACAGATTTCTTGATCAGTGGCTGTTCCATCAATGAAACGTATAAAGACGTTATCATAAGTAATACAATAGTTAATCTTTTTAATCCTACTTTAAATGATTATTTATACAGATATACATATAAACACTAAAATGTCTTCCTTTGTTTGTTATAACTGGAATATTGCAGGAAAATTTACATAACACGCTTAAGCGGGTTAATTCCGTTAATTCCAGTAATAACAAACAAAGAAAGCATTTTATTTATTAAATAACAGTAAATTACAGTCACCAACCTTGATCTATTCTATACTTCTGACGAACAATATAAATTTCTCAGGTATTTAAATCACGTGACCTGGTAACCAGGTAAACATTTAGAACGCAGACAAGGAAGTAAATTATAATATACGGGATTATCGGGAGGACATGTTGGATTTAGAGGTGAGACAAGTTTATATATATGGTAAATTTTACATGTTGAAAGATCTTTCTAGATGTCATTTATGATATCAAGTCTAGTGCAATACATTAAATTACCTGAAATGCATGAGAAGGCCATTTTAGATCAAATTGACTACATAAAGATTGTTTTGACTTTTATAAAGTGTTGGTATTTTCTTCGTAATATACATTTTTTTAAACAGATAGAAAATTGTAACATTAAAACTACAAAAATATCCTTTCTGTTCTTCTTAACCGACTTTGGCAATTCCACAAAACCAAACCCTTACGTTGTATTTGTGTAAAATTGCGTTATATTTCTGAATGCAGTGACCCATGCCTCCATTAACTTTATACAGGGTCATCTGATTTTTTTTACCAAAACCGAGTGATGGACCCCCTGGACAGAGCTCAAGTTCTCCTCCTCTGTGACCTGTGTCAAAGAGCTGCATTACAGAGTCATTGTGAACTTTGTCAGATTAACCTGTGTAAGGCCTGTGTGGGGGAGCATCTCTCTGATTCATCTACAAGACACAAAGTTGTACCATACAAACACAGAAAATCTACTCCTAACGTTAACTACCCAAAATGTCCACACCACACCCAGAAACATTGTGAACTTTATTGTGAGAAATGTTACATTCCTGTCTGTTCTACCTGCCTCTCCTCTTATGAACATCTTGGGCATAAATTAACCGATGTTTTACAGGATCCCAGCTTCATGAAAGAAATTTTGAACAAGGATTTCAAAGAACTGGAAAAAAGAATATATCCTACTTATAAAGAAATAGCATCAGATTTAAATTCTGAAAAAGTCAACTTGGAAAAACATTATGAGAAACTGACAACAGCTGTCGCCAAACAAGGAGACGACTGGCACAGAGAAATTAACATCATTGTCAACAAACAGAAATCTGAAATTGATGAGATGAAATCTAAACACCTGGCTGCTCTAAATAAACAGGAAAATAAAATCAAACAGACCACTTCTGATGTTAAACAGTGCATACTTGATCTAAAGAAATTACTGGACTCCAATGATGTCTCCCTAACCTCTGAATACAAATCCAGGAATGCTGAATTCAGAAGTTTACCTCCTAAAGTCAATGTTACATTACCAAGTTTTTCTCCTCATCGGATCAACACAGAACAGCTCCATCAAATGTTTGATTCTCTGTCAGCATTATCCATTACAACAGAAGAACATGGCTACACAATGAAGACTATAGAAGCTGTATCCTGTCCTCCAGTCAAACCACTGCTTGATGAACCAGAGCTCATCACCACCTTAGACACTGGGTATAGACCACTATACAGTGTTACCTGTCTCAGTGATGAAGAAATCTGGACATGTGGAGATGACAATATCATGAAACTCTACAACCTCCAGGGTAAACTACTAAAGTCAATCCAAACCGAGTCAGGGAACATACCACTTGACATAGCAGTGACAAGGAGTGGAGATCTAGTTTATACTGACTCTGATACAAGAACTGTAAACATAGTTAAGAATAAACAGATACAGGAGGTGATCAGACTATTTGGGTGGACACCTTACTATGTCTGTAGTACCTCCTCTGGTGACCTCCTGGTTATCATGATTAGTTATGATAATAAACAAACAAAAGTTGTCCGTTACTCTGGCTCCACAAAGAAACAAACCATTCAGTTTGATAGGGACGGTAAAAATCTGTTTTTATCTAGTTTCTTCAGTAAATACATCAGTGAGAACAGGAACCTGGATATCTGTGTAGCTGACAGTGGAGCCAGTGTAGTGGTGGTTGATCAGGCAGGAAAACTCCGATTTAGATACACTGGTCATCCCTCTACTACCAAGGGATCGTTTGATCCAGTCGGTATCACAACTGACAGCCAGAGTCAGATCCTGACAGCAGACAAAAACAACAACTGTATCCACATCCTAGATCAGGACGGACAGTTCCTCCGTTACATTGATAACTGTGAACTACACTATCCATGGGGCTTATGTGTAGACACCAGAGACAATCTATTTGTGGCTGAGAGTAAAACTGGTAAAGTGAAGAAAATCAAATATATGTGAACAATGTGTTTTAAATAACATGCTTGTGATACAAACTTTTTCCAATGTTACAAATCACAAGAATTTATTGTTAGATTCAGTTTGATTTTTTTAGCATTTAGGTGTGTGTGTGTGAGGGAGGGTAAGGGTGTGTGAAAATATTAAAAATAATATTAATAAGGTAAAATTTGAATAAAAGTTTTTTTTATAATAATTGTTCATATGATTATTTCATTGACATTTACGTGTTTTAGGTTGTTTATTTTCAAATTGATCCTCTATCGTGCATTGCACACTGAAGAGTTTTGATTTTACTTTACTTTTTTGCCTTTAGAATGATTTGCCCTTAGATCTTAAATACACGTAAATAAATCTACATCCTTTTATTCTAATTATATGCAATTCATCCAAGGACTTTAATTAAGATAAATTAATTAAACACTTGATTAGTATGTTTTCATGGACACCAGAGAACAGGGGTTTGACTGTATATGTATATGTAATCCCAAAACAAAAATTAGAAACCTGATACAGAAAACTTTTATTGTAGATGTTTTCATTTTAATTCACATACATCTTGAAAAACATTGACAAAAATTATTTCAACAGATATGAATTGGTCTATTTCCATGCAATATCAGTTTAGTTAGTCCACTGCCAGTAGCACTTAATATTAAAATCCTTACTTGATGTACAGTATATTTTCTCTGGATTTTTTTTTAAAATTCATATTTAAAGACATCATCAATAATTTCACTATAGTGATCTCCCTGTGTCTGGTTTTATATAACTTATAAGCTCCCTGTGTTGAGCCTCTCCTTACTCTCCTTATGAGGGCCTCCACAAAGCTGTAGTGGGTCCTGGACTTACAGTATTCCTAAAAAAACAAACAAAAAATGGATTAATTCAAAAATTTTTGTCACAGTTGGGTCATAAATTTAAATATGGTTCGTTTTAAGCATTTTTTATAATCCCGATTGAAAAGCAGGGGTTGGGGTATAGTAATGGGGGTTTTTGTTCATCCATCTGTATGTCTGTCCAATAAACATTTTTGTTTTATACCCATCTTTTATCCATAACTCCTCTTATATAAATAAAAATTATTTAATTTCATAGAATCTTTATTGCATAAAGCCATTGTGCACATATTTTATCTTTTCATCCAACACTTATTTCATGTCTCTCAGACCAAAACATGGACTTTGCCTTTAAAATAATATGGGAGGCAGGGGGTGTCATTTTGGGAGCTCAGTGCTTATTTATGGTATATGTTCTATTTTAAAACAGTGATCTATTTTTATTGCGGATTTTAACAAATAGGCTGATGAAACAGAATTTAAGTATGGCTTTGGGAGAGGATGTAAGTTGGGCTGTGGAAAAGGATGGGTCATTTTGTAAAAGTGGGCTGATTTAAGGGGTGGCTGAAGCACTTTTGTGAACTGTGAGAGAGGGGTAAATGAATTTTGTTATGAATTGCACTGCAGGAGAAGTGAATAACACCAGCTTAAAACAAGAGGTCCATGGACCATAACGCTCACCTGAGAAACTTTAGCCATGCTGTTCTTTAACAGATTTCCCCTTTTTTTAATACCAATTGTGACCACGCCCTATCCCAGGGGTCATGATTTGGACAATTTAGAATCTACATTATTCCATGATCCTTCCACATATTAAGTTTCAGGTTTTCTGGCCCAGTGGTTCTTGAGAAGGAGATTTTTAAAGTTTTTTTCCTATATATTTCTATGTAAAACTTAGATTCCCTATTGTGGCCCCGGCCTACCCCAGGGGTCATGATTTGAATAATTTTGAATCAACACTTTTCCAGAATGTTTCCACATAGGTTTCAGCTTTTCTGGCTCAGTGGTTCTAGAGAAGAAGATATTTAAAGTGTTTTCCTATATATTTCTATGTAAAAGTTGGATTCCCTATTGTGGCCCCGCCCTATTCCAGGGGGTCATGATTTGTATAATTTAAAATCTACCTACCCCAGAATGCTTCTACATACGTTTCAGCTTTTCTGGCTCAGTAGTTCTTGAAAAGAAGATTTTTTAATTTTTTCCTATATATTTCTATGTAAAACTTGGATGCCCTATTATGGCCCCGCCCTACCCCATGGGGTCATGATTTGTATAATTTAGAATCTACACTACCCCAGGATGCTTCCACATAAGATTCAGCTTTTCTGGCCCAGTGGTTCTTGAGAAGAAGATTTTTTAATGATCCCACCCTATTTTTGTATTTTCTTGATTATCTCCCCTTGGCAAGGAACTTGGCCCTTGATTTTTACAATTTATATTCCCTTCACCAAAGGATGCTTTGTACCAAGTTTGGTTTAAATTGGCCCAGTGGTTCCTGAGAAGAAGTTGAAAATGTGAAAAGTTTACAGACGGACGGCTAGACAGACAGGTAGACAGATGGACGGATGACTGACAATAGGTGATCAGATACAAAATTTATTTTGTTGACCTCTTCTCAACCAATTGACCTAAATTGACCAGACTCAAAACCTTTCTTTTTACATTCCAGAAAACATTTTTTTTTCTTTTTATTCCTCTTATCTCGTCAACAAATATGTTTAAAAAAAAATTTGAAAAAAGATTTTTCTTGAAATATAAAAGGATTTTTCTTGAAAAAAGATTTTTCCATCAACCTACATGTACCAACCCAAAGATTGTACCCTAAGCCAGGAGAGGGCAAGCATTTTTAAAGATGACCTAAGCTACCTAAATATGGGATGTGGCCAAATTGTGGAAGGGGATGCATGACCAAGTCTTATATGTAGAAGAGATGGATAAGAATTTTTTCTTTCATTTATTTTTGTTTCCCCTTGGCCTCTCCTTTTTATTTGGAATCATTATCTACCCTTTCACTTTTACCGTGTCAATCTTTTGTATCTTTTCGAGGAGTGAGTCGTGTATGGCTGAGTTTGCTGTCTGTTTCAATGTCTCTATATCTTCACTGGTCACCCCCATCATAAGCTGTCTATCTATGTCTGGCAGAGAGTCGACATCAGATTCTCCAAATGATGAATGAGAAATCCCTGTCAAATCTGTAAACATTTAAAGGATTAACCTATCATATATCACTATCTGGAAGTACATTACACACTTGGATAAAAAAATTCAATATTGTACACAATACACAACAATATTTTCATTCAGTTTTATTTTCGCTCTCCTACACTTTCAAACAAATTTGCCCTATTTTAAATTCACTTAGACTAAGTTGTGTGTGTTTTCATATTAAAATTTACCCGATTTCAAATTCTCACATTGGTGAAGAAGGTATTGAAAACAAGATGAGTTTGTGAAAGCAGCAACAAAGTTAAAAAAAACATATATTTAGCATAAAGGTCATAGTCAAGGTTACAAGGACATTGATCTTGATGTCATTTGAAAGAACTTGATTAGTGAAGTATGCATATTAAATTTGAAGTCTCTATCTCTCATAGTTCAAAAGTAATGGTGAAGGTTCAAAAAGGCTATTTTTAGAATGTAGGAAACAGTCAAGGTCACAAGACCACTGACCTTTGTGTTATTTGAAAGGGCTTTATCAGTGGAGTACGCATGCCAAATATTAAGTCTCTATCTTTCTTTGTTCTTAAGTTATGGCAAAGGTTAAAGTTTGCTGACAAAAAAGCTATTAATATTTAGAGTATTGGTCAAAGTCAAGGTCACAAGCTCATTGACCATGGTTTTATTTAAAAGAGCTTAATCAGTGGTGTATGCATACCAAATATGAAGTCTCTATCTTTTATGGTTCAAAAGTTATGGCATAGGTTAAAGTTTGCAGGCAAAAACTATTTAAACTTATAGGTCACTGTCAAGGTCACAAGGTCATTGACCTTGGTGTCATTTGAAAGAGCTTCATTAGTGGATTATACAAACCAAATATGAAGTCTGTGCCATTCATGGTTCAAAAGTTATGGCGAAGGTTCAAGTTTGCAGACAAAAAGATAAACAGACAAACAGACAGGCAGACAGGACAAAACAATATATATGCCTCGGATCTTTCGATCTGGGCGCATAAAAATTGGAGGTAAAACACTTTCCCAGCGTACAGTTAGACTGATTTCACTTAGACAAAAAAAAGACGATTAAGGAATCACTGTCTAGTTTTGAGAGTATGCCAGGGCATCAACAATAGTGAGAAACATGGGATAATTTGCATATTAAACGGACAAAGCCCGTTATGCTAAAATTATCCCATGTTTCCCACTATTGTTGATGTCCCTGACATACTCTCAAAACAAGACAGTGATTCCTTATATTTCCATTTCATTTTGAAATAAAATTGTAGATTTAGACTTTAAAAATGTAGACATAGACTATAATCACACGAGGACGTCCATGCCAATTTCAATAGTCCTCGCCCACTGACGTCAAACACAAAGGCAGCCGCACGAGATTTACATGCATTTACATGCTATTCCTTAGCGTAAGACTCAGAGACAGATGTGCACGGGATTTGCATGCATATTAGGCCTCCTTGGCACCTGACCTATCGACCTGTCTAATTTACATTCCGGCAGAATTATCAAGAAATAAACTCCGACAACTTTCAAAGAGTTATCACAGAGAAACAATTAGAAATGGAAATATAAAGGCATAAACTCATTTGTACCACATACATGTATATTAAAAGACATGAGATATAAATATCCTGACTAACCTTGAAGCCTCCTAAGTTGCGTGTGTCTGCGAGTCTGACTCTGGTACGTAGATTTCTGCTGATTGACAGGAACGCAGTGAATGAGATAATACTCCAGGTGGCGTCACAACATAAACAGACAGTTCTCCAAGATGTCTACTGCATAGTCAAGGGAGATTACTACCAGTTATGTTTTCTGTTCTTGTTTTTCAATGTTTCTATTTATTCACATGTTTGAAATTGTACACTAGCTGCCAAATAAAAATAATTGATTCAACTTCAAACAAAAACTTTTACGTAGCCAACATCATAATATTAGCTGCTTCATTTCAAAAGGATACAAGCTAGGTACTGCAGTTGTTCCTCTTCGTAATGCACGATTTTGGTGAGGCGAGTTCTAGCGAGTTTCTGTCTCTGATGAGATGTGAGCTTCTCTTCTACTCCAGAAAACTAAATACCGGTAAACAGATCAATACAAAAATATAAGAATAAATACATATATAAAAGACATATACTCAGTAATCTAAATGACTAAAAATTACAACTTTCTCCGATTTCATATCCTTTGTAGTACCCTATGCTTCGATTTTATTATTCTCTCTCTATCTGTTTGAGATCGTCTGTACTAAGATCAGTCAGATTCTGTAGTTTACGGATGTGTTGTTTGTGTCTTTACCTGTTTGAGTCGTCTGTACTAAGATCAGTCAGACTCTGTAGTTTACGGAGATGTTTGTGTCTTTACCTGTTTGAGGTCGTCTGTACTAAGATCAGACAGACTCTGTAGTTTACGGAGGTGTTGTCTGTGTCTTTACCTGTTTGAGATCGTCTGTACTAAGGTCAGTCAGACTATGAGTTTACAGAGGTATTGTTTGTGTCTTTACCTGTTTGAGGTCGTCTGTACTAAGGTCAGTCAGACTCTGTAGTTTACGGAGATGTTGTTTGTGTCTTTACCTGTTTGAGGTCGTCTGTACTAAGGTCAGTCAGACTCTGTAGTGTACGGAGGTGTTGTTTGTGTCTTTACCTGTTTGAGGTCGTCTGTACTAAGATCAGACAGACTCTGTAGTTTACGTAGATGTTGTTTGTGTCTTTACCTGTTTGAGGACGTCTGTACTAAGGTCAGACAGACTCTGTAGTGTACGGAGGTGTTGTTTGTGTCTTTACCTGTTTGAGGTCGTCTGTACTAGGTCAGTCAGACTCTGTAGTTTACGGAGGTGTTGTTTGTGTCTTTACCTGTTTGAGGTCGTCTGTACTAGGTCAGACAGACTCTGTAGTTTACGTAGATGTTGTTTGTGTCTTTACCTGTTTGAGGACGTCTGTACTAAGGTCAGACAGACTCTGTAGTTTAGGGAGATGTTGTTTGTGTCTTTACCTGTCTGAGATCGTCTGTACTAAAGTCAGACAGACTCTATAGTTTACGGAGGTGTTGTTTGTGTCTTTACCTGTTTGAGGTCGTCTGTACTAAGGTCAGACAGACTCTATAGTTTATGGAGGTGTTGTTTGTGTCTTTACCTGTTTGAGATCGTCTGTACTAAGATCAGACAGACTCTATAGTTTACGGAGATGTTGTTTGTGTCTTTACCTGTTTGAGGTCGTCTGTACTAAGATCAGTCAGACTTTGTAGTGTACGGAGGTGTTGTTTGTGTCTTTACCTGTTTGAGATCGTCTGTACTAAGGTCAGTCAGACTCTGTAGTTTAGGGAGGTGTTGTTTGTGTCTTTACCTGTTTGAGGTCGTCTGTACTAAGATCAGTCAGACTCTGTAGTGTACGGAGGTGTTGTTTGTGTCTTTACCTGTTTGAGGTCGTCTGTACTAAGATCAGTCAGACTCTGTAGTTTACGAAGGTGTTGTTTATGTCTTTACCTGTTTGAGATCGTCTGTACTAAGGTCAGTCAGACTCTGTAGTTTACGGAGGTGTTGTTTGTGTCTTTACCTGTTTGAAGTCGTCTGTACTAAGGTCAGACAGACTCTGTAGTTTAGGGAGGTGTTGTTTGTGTCTTTACCTGTTTGAGGTCGTCTGTACTAAGGTCAGACAGACTCTGTAGTTTACGGAGGTGTTGTTTGTGTCTTTACCTGTTTGAGGTCGTCTGTAATAAGGTCAGACAGACTCTATAGTTTAGGGAGGTGTTGTTTGTGTCTTTACCTGTTTGAGGTCGTCTGTACTAAGGTCAGCCAGACTCTGTAGTTTACAGAGGTGTTGTTTGTGTCTTTACCTGTTTGAGGTCGTCTGTACTAAGGTCAGACAGACTCTGTAGTTTACGGAGGTGTTGTTTGTGTCTTTACCTGTTTGAGATCGTCTGTACTAAGATCAGTCAGACTCTGTAGTTTAGGGAGGTGTTGTTTGTGTCTTTACCTGTTTGAGGTCGTCTGTACTAAGATCAGTCAGACTCTGTAGTTTACGGAGATGTTGTTTGTGTCTTTACCTGTTTGAGGTCGTCTGTACTAAGGTCAGTCAGACTCTGTAGTGTACGGAGGTGTTGTTTGTGTCTTTACCTGTTTGAGGTCGTCTGTACTAAGATCAGACAGACTCTGTAGTTTACGTAGATGTTGTTTGTGTCTTTACCTGTTTGAGGACGTCTGTACTAAGGTCAGACAGACTCTGTAGTTTACGGAGATGTTGTTTGTGTCTTTACCTGTTTGAGGTCCTCTGTACTAGGTTAGTCAGACTCTGTAGTGTACGGAGGTGTTATTTGTGTCTTTACCTGTTTGAGGTCGTCTGTACTAAGATCAGTCAGACTCTGTAGTTTACGGAGATGTTGTTTGTGTCTTTACCTGTTTGAGGTCGTCTGTACTAAGATCAGACAGACTCTGTAGTTTACGTAGATGTTGTTTGTGTCTTTACCTGTTTGAGGACGTCTGTACTAAGGTCAGACAGACTCTGTAGTTTACGTAGATGTTGTTTGTGTCTTTACCTGTTTGAGTTCCTCTGTACTAGGTCAGTCAGACTCTGTAGTTTAGGGAGGTGTTGTTTATGTCTTTACCTGTTTGAGGTCGTCTGTACTAAGATCAGTCAGACTCTGTAGTTTACGGAGATGTTGTTTGTGTCTTTGTATACCTGTTTGAGGTCGTCTGTACTAAGATCAGTCAGACTCTGTAGTTTACGGAGATGTTGTGTGTGTCTTTACCTGTTTGAGGTCGTCTGTACTAAGGTCAGCCAGACTGTTGTTTACGGAGATGTTGTGTGTGTCTTTATCTGTTAGAGGTCGTCTGTACTAAGATCAGTCAGACTCTGTAGTTTACGGAGATGTTGTTTGTGTCTTTACCTGTTTGAGGTCGTCTGTACTAAGGTCAGTCATACTCTGTAGTTTACGGAGGTGTTGTTTGTGTCTTTACCTGTTTGAGATCGTCTGTACTAAGGTCAGTCAGACTCTGTAGTTTACGGAGGTGTTGTTTGTGTCTTTACCTGTTTGAGGTCGTCTGTACTAAGGTCAGACAGACTCTGTAGTTTAGGGAGGTGTTGTTTGTGTCTTTACCTGTTTGAGGTCGTCTGTACTAAGGTCAGACAGACTCTGTAGTTTACGGAGATATTGTTTGTGTCTTTACCTGTTTGAGGTCGTCTGTAATAAGGTCAGACAGACTCTATAGTTTAGGGAGGTGTTGTTTGTGTCTTTACCTGTTTGAGGTCGTCTGTACTAAGGTCAGCCAGACTCTGTAGTGTACGGAGGTGTTGTTTGTGTCTTTACCTGTTTGAGGTCGTCTGTACTAAGGTCAGACAGACTCTGTAGTTTACGGAGGTGTTGTTTGTGTCTTTACCTGTTTGAGATCGTCTGTACTAAGGTTAGTCAGACTCTGTAGTTTAGGGAGGTGTTGTTTGTGTCTTTACCTGTTTGAGGTCGTCTGTACTAAGATCAGTCAGACTCTGTAGTTTACGAAGGTGTTGTTTATGTCTTTACCTGTTTGAGGTCGTCTGTACTGAGGTCAGTCAGACTCTGTAGTTTACGGAGGTGTTGTTTGTGTCTTTACCTGTTTGAGTCATCTGTACTAAGGTCAGACAGACTCTGTAGTTTAGGGAGATGTTGTTTATGTCTTTACCTGTCTGAGATCGTCTGTACTAAAGTCAGACAGACTCTATAGTTTACGGAGGTGTTGTTTGTGTCTTTACCTGTTTGAGGTCGTCTGTACTAAGGTCAGACAGACTCTGCAGTTTACGGAGATGTTGTTTGTGTCTTTACCTGTTTGAGATCGTCTGTACTAAGATCAGACAGACTCTATAGTTTACGGAGGTGTTGTTTGTGTCTTTACCTGTTTGAGGACGTCTGTACTAAGGTCAGACAGACTCTGTAGTTTACGGAGGTGTTGTTTGTGTCTTTACCTGTTTGAGGTCGTCTGTACTAAGGTCAGACAGACTCTATAGTTTATGGAGGTGTTGTTTGTGTCTTTACCTGTTTGAGGTCGTCTGTACTAAGGTCAGTCAGACTATGAGTTTACGGAGGTGTTGTTTGTGTCTTAACCTGTTTGAGATCGTTTGTACTAAGATCAGTCAGACTCTGTAGTTTAGGGAGGTGTTGTTTGTGTCTTTACCTGTTTGAGGTCGTCTGTACTAAGGTCAGCCACACTCCGTAGTTTACGGAGGTGTTGTTTGTGTCTTTACCTGTTTGAGGTCATCTGTACTAAGGTCAGTCAGACTCTGTAGTTTACGGAGGTGTTGTTTGTGTCTTTACCTGTTTGAGGTCGTCTGTACTAAGATCAGTCAGACTCTGTAGTGTACTGAGGTGTTGTTTGTGTCTTTACCTGTTTGAGGTCGTCTGTACTAAGGTCAGACAGACTCTGTAGTTTACGGAGGTGTTGTTTGTGTCTTTACCTGTTTGAGGTCGTCTGTACTAAGATCAGTCAGACTCTGTAGTGTACAGAGGTGTTGTTTGTGTCTTTACCTGTTTGAGGTCGTCTGTACTAAGATCAGTCAGACTCTGTAGTGTACGGAGGTGTTGTTTGTGTCTTTACCTGTTTGAGGTCGTCTGTACTAAGATCAGTCAGACTCTGTAGTTTACGTAGATGTTGTTTGTGTCTTTACCTGTTTGAGGTCGTCTGTACTAAGATCAGTCAGACTCTGTAGTGTACGGAGGTATTGTTTGTGTCTTTACCTGTTTGAGGTCGTCTGTACTTAGATCAGTCAGACTCTGTAGTTAACGGAGATGTTGTTTGTGTCTTTACCTGTTTGAGGTCGTCTGTACTAAGGTCAGGCAGACTCTGTAGTTTACGGAGATGTTGTTTGTGTCTTTACCTGTTTGAGGTCGTCTGTACTAAGATCAGTCAGACTCTGTAGTTTACGGAGGTGTTGTTTGTATCTTTACCTGTCTGAGGTCGTCTGTACTAAGGTCAGCCAGACTCTGTAGTTTACACAGGTGTTGTTTGTGTCTTTACCTGTTTGAGGTCGTCTGTACTTAGATCAGTCAGACTCTGTAGTTAACGGAGATGTTGTTTGTGTCTTTACCTGATTGAGGTCGTCTGTACTAAGGTCAGCCAGACTCTGTAGTTTACGGAGGTATTGTTTGTGTCTTTACCTGTTTGAGGTCGTCTGTACTAAGATCAGCCAGACTCTGTAGTTTACGGAGATGTTGTTTGTATCTTACCTGTTTGAGGTCGTCTGTACTAAGATCAGCCAGACTCTGTAGTTTACGTAGATGTTGTTTGTGTCTTTACCTGTTTGAGGTCGTCTGTACTAAGATCAGCCAGACTCCGTAGTTTACGTAGATGTTGTTTGTGTCTTTACCTGTTTGAGGTCGTCTGTACTAAGATCAGCCAGACTCTGTAGTTTACGGAGATGTTGTTTGTGTCTTTACCTGTTTGAGGTCGTCTGTACTAAGATCAGCCAGACTCTGTAGTTTACGGAGATGTTGTTTGTATCTTACCTGTTTGAGGTCGTCTGTACTAAGATCAGCCAGACTCTGTAGTTTACGGAGATGTTGTTTGTATCTTACCTGTTTGAGGTCGTCTGTACTAAGATCAGCCAGACTCCGTAGTTTACGTAGATGTTGTTTGTGTCTTTACCTGTTTGAGGTCGTCTGTACTAAGATCAGCCAGACTCTGTAGCTTACGTAGATGTTGATTGTGTATTTATCTGTTTGAGGTCGTCTGTACTAAGATCAGCCAGACTCTGTAGCTTACGTAGATGTTGATTGTGTATTTATCTGTTTGAGGTCGTCTGTACTAAGATCAGCCAGACTCTGTAGTTTACGTAGATGTTGTTTGTGTCTTTACCTGTTTGAGGTCGTCTGTACTAAGATCAGCCAGACTCTGTAGCTTACGTAGATGTTGATTGTGTATTTATCTGTTTGAGGTCGTCTGTACTAAGATCAGCCAGACTCTGTAGCTTACGTAGATGTTGATTGTGTATTTATCTGTTTGAGGTCGTCTGTACTAAGGTCAGTCAGACTCTGTAGCTTACGTAGATGTTGCTTGTGTCTTTACCTGTTTGAGGTCGTCTGTACTAAGGTCAGCCAGACTCTGTAGCTTACGTAGATGTTGCTTGTGTCTTTACCTGTTTGAGGTCGTCTGTACTAAGATCAGCCAGACTCTGTAGCTTACGTAGATGTTGTTTGTGACTCTCGTACACAGACATGAAGTGGTTGGCACACTGACGGAGTTGATACACCACCACCCCTAGACTGGGGGCCTGGACTGTACTGCTACTCAGGAATGAGGTGTCTGTAACCAGATATGTTACAAATACATTTAAAACAAGAAATGTTTAAAAATAAAGACCTCCACCCTTTTATATAATAATATACAATTATTGCTGTTTTTAAGGTCAATACGATGATTTAGCTCTTCAAAGTACAGTATTTGGGCTCAGTGAATATTGTACTCCTCAGGTGTCTAAATCATCGTATTAACTGCAAAAAATAGCAATATCTATCTTATCACATGATTAAATGATAGCAAACTCGATCCTAAAAGACTGACTATATCTTTGCTTTAATTGAAAGTTTTAACAAGAAATTTCAACAAGAACACATTGTAACTTTCTTACATTGTTGGTTCTCAGCCAATAAGAGAAAAGAAAATTATTCAATATAACAGGTAGTGACCTTCTTACAGTGTTGGTTCTCAGCCAATAAGAGAAAAGAAAATTATTCAATATAACAGTTTATTGACCTCTGACCTCTAGTGATATAAATAACTTACCGTCAGTACTTCCTAGATCTCTAGAAAGGGCTTCCTCCAGACTCGGTCGGAACAGATCTCAAGAAAACTGTGATGTTGGTCCTATAAATTGAAAAAAAAAATCAGAAATTACAAAAAGTTACAATATGTTTTCCTGATGCTGATATTACTTAACATTTACAATATGGTAATTAAATGCTTCTGAGAAAGAATAAGGAATATTTGGGGCACTTCTAATTTTAGTGCCTTTGGCGCAAGAGCCCCTGGACGTTAAATATTTTTGTGCGATAACAGATGTCTAAATATTTTTTTTTAAAAGTGTTTTTATATTGAGGCTTTTTTGTGTGTATGTTTAAAGCTAATAAGTTTAAAAAGTTTGCAATACCATTATTAATGCCCAGTACTAAACAATGTTTATAAAGGTATTATCTGCTTTGACACTTTATAAAGGTAACAACATAAATTTCGGCCCCTACACACATAAATTTAAATTGAAAGATTTACAACTTCAAAATTTTATTGCCAGTTCTGACAGGTTTATCACAACTTAATTGATCAATCTGACAAGATATGTCCTTAAATTTGTTGTTTTACCTGAGGTTGAGATGACAGCTCGACAGTAGGAGGTCACATTGGAGGAAACTTCTAAAAATACCACTCCGAGTTCCGAACTCAAGTCCTTCCCCCGAGTCGACTCTTCAGACTCCAGTAACTTGAGTTGTCTGTTGACTCTCTCAGATATACAGTACATGTACTTTGGCATTAAGGTAAGTCGCGGGTTTACTGCATAAAAATTCTTACGAGAAAACATATCCTGAAAATTTGATATAATGATCATTAGAATTCATAGCGTATTATCTGCAATTTTCATTAAATTTGCCTAGATAGTTTTAATACTATATTACTGTAAGCGCGGTATTGTTGTTGGTACTTTTTTTTACGTTTTACTATTGAATTGTATGGGAAAATGACGTTTTAAGCCAATTTTGTGAAAATAGTTTCTTTGAAAAAGAATGGATAACTTTTTAAAGACGTAGACGAATTAGTCAGGAGTTTCAAAATGTGAATATCAGGTAAAATTAAAACTATTAATATAAAAAAATCAATATGTCTTCTCGCTAGATTTTTTGCTAAATAATTTCAAAGTTTTCTTTAATACTACTAAAATGTTGCGTTTATGGCGTAATTAACATCTACAACGTCATTTGTTGAACGCAGTCACGTTCATAGTACGAGTATAAATATCTTGGTATTTGGAAAATTTAAAAGATGACATATATACAAAATTTAATTTTAATTAAATATATCATTTCATTTATTGTGGAGACACATTAGAATGACCAGCAACTTATTATCACTAGTATTGTAAAAATTCATATTCCGATCACAAAGTCAGATTGAACGGTATAAAGATTCCTCGAACCTGAAAATTAACATACGGCGACAACAACGCAAGTAATAAAATATTAAATATTAGTACATGTATTTTTAAGAAATTCATGGTTAGTAGGATTTCAGGCATGACACTACATTGTATATTCGAAAACCGTGAGAAAAAACATCCCGATTCAGAGGAAATTAGCGGCCGAGGGGAGGAGGGGGGTTTATACTTGTTCTTTCTATATTAGTTACAAGCTATAGTATATTGCACTATATCAAACATGCATTTATTAATTTTCGATTTTTCTGAATGAATTTCAATACGGGATATGTAAAACTCTTGCATTTAGCTTTTACACTTTGAGTTTTTGTTATAAAAAATTTTAATACATGTATATAGAAAAAGATAATTATAAATTGTTTACAGTGTCTTATATGTCTTACAGTCCAGGTGTTTGTATAATTTTATTTTTAAATGAATTTCACAATTTATTAGCCAGCAAAACAAGGCGATTACAAGAGATTTAAATGCATAACGACCAGACAATATTGACAATGATGATAGTAATAAAAAAAAAACAGGAAAAACATGTGCTTAAATTTCACTCTTTTTTACTGATAATTATGTGTTCCATCCTGAAAAGTATATACGCATATTTTCGCCCCGGCTTTTATGGCAGTTATGATGCAATACGCATGTTCCCCTGAGTTTTAAATAATGTGCACACATACAACCCCTCAAGTTTTCCACTAAGCAATTTTTATTCAGGACAACTTTCTTTCTGCATTCCATAATTTTACGTTGATTTATTTTGATATACTCTTAGCAGTTTAGATCCCGTGGGGACCCGGGTTAGAATAGGTCCTTAGTAACCCCTTGCTTGTCGTAAAAGGCGACTAAATGGGGCGGTCCTTCGGATGAGACCGTATAAACCGAGGCCCCGTGTCACAGCAGGTGTGGCACGAAAAAGATATCTCCCTGCTCAATGGCCCTGAGTGCCGAGCAAAGGCCCAAAGCAGCCCTTCACCGGCAATGGTGACATCTCCATATCAGTGGAATATTCTGGAGAGGGACGTTACACAGTATACAATCAATCAATCAATCTTAGCAGTTTAGTTACACTCACAATATAAATAATTTCTCTCATTTGGCATTGTATTTAATAAGTCTTTAGACATTACATATAATAATTAATTCATGAATTTAGACTGAAATTTAATTATAAAACATATACAGGGTTTACGTACAAAAGCATGCACTTTGTATTTATCTACTTGTATGGCACGCCAAATTCACAAAAATGAGCAAAACATAGTTTCACAGTCGATAAACTAGGTTTATCGGTTGTAAACTATAGTTTACGGACTGTAAACTATAGTTAACGACGTTAATCTATATTTTACGTCTGTAAACCATAGTTAACGCGATAATCTATGTTTCACAACCGTAAACTATACTTAACACCGAAAACAATCATTTGCGATTGCAAAACATAGATTATCTGATAAATAAAGTTTCACGATTTGTAAACTATAGTTTACTACTCTTAACTATAGTTAACTGTTAACTGATAAATATAGTTTCGATTTGTGAAACTATGGTTAACAACTCTTAACTATAGTTAACTGTTAACTGATAAATATAGTTCCGATTTGTGAAACTATGATTAACAACACTTAACTATAGTTTACGATTGTAAATTATAGTTTACAAACGTGAATCTATGTTTATCAACAAAATCTATTGTTAACGCTTTATTACAGACAGATAAACTTAGATTATTATTCGTACAGATGAAAACTATACTTAACGAATCGTTAACTATAGTTTACGGTTTGTAAACTATAGTTTACAGTCGATAAACCTAGTTTATCAATTGTGAAACTAGGTTTATCTCATTTTTGTGAATTTGGCGTGCCATATACTTGATTCGTACAGACTTGAAGTCATTTACAGAGAATTAAGCGCGAAACAACGTTACGTTGTCTTTGTGACGTAACTGACGTCATAATCAAATGTGCACAAAACAGCCGCTCGAATCGTCAAAATTGCGTACCAAAACTGATGACAAAAGCAAACCCGCGACCTACCTTAAAGCCAACATCTGTCTCTCAATCCTGACCTTTTGACCTTTCAACTCTATTCCAGCTGGGTCAAGGTCATCAAATTCTGCATCTGGAATGCCTGTTTTGTAGAACATTAGAAATGAAGATACATACATAGTTTGAACATTTTATAACTAAACTTTTGAAAAAAATACTACCAGTAAAAATGTCAAAATGAAAAAAATCTGCTTCCATAAAGGCACAAACCTCTGGAGTTAGCTCGTGTCAGTACTGCTGTAGTTAGAGCTAGTTCACGTAGAGCTGAAAGATTTAAACTGGGCTGTCTGTCTCGTAGAATTCCGTGGAAAACTTCTCCGTGAGATAAGATAAACTGCATCACCTATATAACGGCAAGGAATGGTGAACAATTCTGTAACATGTATGTGGGGTCTGTTATTTGTGGATTTCGTTGGTCACCCTTACCCATAAAATTACATTCCCATGACAATTTATTTTTTTAAATGTATGTATCAGTAACTCAATTCTAATCTCTCTTTGAGTTACCTAAGAAATTATATATATGCCTTCAAGAACATGTCAATTGCCTTATACTGTATAAGTGGAAATTTTAGTGATACTCAAATTTAGCGATTTCTCCTTAAAAAATGGTATTTTATTTAAAGCCAGAGGTAATTTTAGCGATTTTAAAATACTTAATAAAGCAGCAATTACAAATACAATTAATTTTTAGCGGTATTCAGTTTTAGCGATCTCATGACCCTCGCTAATACATATAATGCCAAAATAATGCCTAAATAAAATCCTCGCTAAAAATTCTACTTATACGGAAATAGCAATGATAAGGAGAGGAACTCATAAGTTGGAAGAACTTGTTTCCAATCCTTTTGTTTATACAATAAAATATGTTCAAAACAAACAACACTGATACCCACAAGTCAAAACAATGATAAATTCTACTTGATGTAAAGACTTTCTACACAACTAATTCTAAATACTGATATGGGTCCAACCGTCCAAGGGACTTTGCATTAAATATTAAATCTAAAGCTGGAGAGAATATTCATGCACCTGATTGCCACAGTCCTGGTTTTCTATACCCAGTGAGGTCAGCATGGCCTGACAGAATTTGAGTGCGGCAAAGAGAAGTTGACGATAGCGGGCCATGAGGCTGGACAGGAAGTCCTCCTCTGTATCAACACCGGCTTCATCTCTATAGAAATCACCATATTAAGGTCAACAATCAACATGTAGACTACAAGTATGCTCATGCAATGGTTACTGATGAAAAAACGATTTTCTTAATTCATTATACATTGTAAACTGTTGAACTCTATACTACTACTACATGTACATAATTACAGTGGAAAGTTTTGATTAATTTAATTTAAAGAGTTGTCAACAATCAAGACATATACATATAACAGGGTATTATTTCAGCTCGGAATAATTATTTCATTCGGAATTTAAAGAATTAAAAAAAATAAGCTACTAAGTCTCCTTACATGTATTTTTAGCTCAGTAGAAAAAAATGTTGCCTTAGATCTCTGCATATTTTGTGAGTATTTGGGTGAAGATTTTGTTTATAAACTCATTAAATAAGTTATTCTATTTTCTGTTAATTATTTCTTCTTATCTGTTTATTTGTTTGTTATTTGTTTGTTTATTTATTGTTGTGTTTGTTTATTTATTGGTGTAAACAAGTTTGCATGTACTGGCAGGGGTTAGATGAATTTTTTACTGGGTTAGTTGGCGCATGCCCAAAGGGGTTAGTCGCCGCCGGGTGTCGACTAACCCCTTTGGGCATGCGCCGGTTGCGTTAGTTAAAAATCCTGTAGTAAATCCATATTCAAAGTGTATTCGGTCTGTATTGTTAATCAGTCCACGCGATGTACGTAATAAACGGTAATTAACACTGTAGAAGTGTTATTTACTGTCACGATGCGCTTAAATCCTAAGTATTTCATTCCAAGTATCCACAAGAAACATATTGACGCAACCTGTACGAAAATTTACGCCCTGACTCCAGGCGGAATTCAGAAGACAGAATCCGCCTATCATCTATAAGAAAATTAATAAGACTATTAGACGGAGTCCTGGTGGAGTCAGGGCGTAAAAGGGCTCAAAATATTTAAATGAGTTAAGGCGTATTCCGCCTTTCCTAATATGGATTACCTGCAAGGCGTATTCCGCCTAACCTGCAAGGCGTATTCCACCTGACCTGCAAGGCGTATTCCGCCTTACTTACAATAGGCGTATTCCGCCTAATCTGTAAGGCGTATTCCGCCTAACGTCAGGTAGGCGTATTCCGCCTTACTAGCAAGGGGTATTCCGCCTAATGGTTAGAGGGATTTTGCATTAATGATTACATAATCTACATGTACTTATCACAGTGTATCAGATATTGTTGTTTCAGACTTTTACAAACTTAACAATTAAAAAAAATTAAATTATACAAATTATATATCATTTATTTTTTAGGTCTTTAAAATTCAATGACTACAAAACATGTTTACATTTGAAAATGTCATGCCTTGCCTTCACATGGAATTAAAAGATAAAAAATATTGTATCAGAACTTGATTTAACAATTAGCTGTTAATTTAAAACTGGATGAATATTTTCACAAAATTCTTTCTGTCTGTAAGGAAATAATGTGTCATTTTTATTGCTCTCCTTCCTAAGTTGTCAGTGGTATAACCTAGCTATCTTTTTTAAGATTCCAGCTTTCCTTTGCCATTCTTCACATAACACAAGATGAAGTCTGTAAAGAAAATACAAAACTGAGATGAATTTTTCATTTTAAAACAACTCTTCAACATTTTTCAATAAAATGACTCTTTTATGAATTCTATTCTGTATTACAAATCAGCTAGTATGCAAACATTCTTGTGTTATTTTTCTCAACACTAAAACTTACATAATGTAAGAATAATTTTTCATTTATATCTATCAGTTGTCTGATATCTTCATGTATTCATACCTCTCATAACCTGCAGTCAGCTGGTTACGTCCATGATAAACTGGTTCCTGTTACTCTCCACTACATTTGAATGAAGCATATGTGTTAGATTGCATTTCTTTTTCTATGAATCTTCAGCAAGCTCTCAAATGAGAAGAGCAGAATTGCCTGTTTACTGGTAAGGGTGGATGGACGGTGGCTTCTGGCCTTCATCCTGACTTGATGTAGTTGCCGCTTTCCTCATTTTACCTTTATCAGCCATAATCGCCAAGGACTTGTACAGCTCTAAGTGCTGAAATGTAGAACACAGCACTCAGTGCACTGCAGAAAACCCTAATATTTACAATTTCAATATTAAAGATGTTTTAATCTCTTATTCAATTATTTCATAATTTTCATACATTTGAAAAAGGTACTAACATAAGACCCCTTTCTACAAATATATTTTTAATTAACATGTATAATCAAATGATAATAAATAGCTGCTCATGGAATATGTAGATCTAACTTATATCATATATGAATAATACCCTTATCCATGTATGTTTTGGAATGTAAATGATGACTTACAGATCTCAAACCTGACTCCTGATCCAAACTAAGCAGCGAACTACACTTTTAAAAGGGTGTTTGTGTAACAATTCCACTAACCACTGGTTAAAACAGTGCTTAGACACAAATCATAACAAAATTTCCAACCGTGATTTTAAAACTGGAAGTAAGTGACGGTCGCTAATTTTAAAGGGAAATCATATTTCCGGAAAACACACTAACATGTTACTTAATAATTGACCAATGAATTAATTTAGTTTTTTTCCTATTTTTATCTCTGTAATTTTTTAACATTTTACTCAAAAAGGGAAAAACTCATAATATTGAGTAAATTTGCAGGTGGGGGGGGGGGGGGGGTGTTTGAGGCTACCCTACATTTGGCAATAAGAAATGGTGCCTGAAATTTTAGGCGCATTTTCTTTTAAAGATCTGGGTTAGTGTAGAGTGATGGGACCTCAATGCTATTTGAATTAATTAACAGAGTAATTGTTGAGTCCAAATTTTGCCTGTACAAAATAAAAAAGAGAGGGGGGGGGGGGGAAGAAAAAACAAAACAAAAAACACGGCTTAAAATTTAACTTACCGTTGTTTTCCACATTTATTCCTGTACCGAGGTCCTTCCCTATCCATTTAGCACATGATGTTCACTGCCGAGTATAATTTGCTTTACTTCAAAGCTCAGTAGAATAACACTAAACGTTGTCACTCTTTTTTTGCCAAAAACACATAACGAATGAACAATCATCTTCTTAATAATAATTTACAGGCATACATCTTGCCTAAGTTCCTTTTTAACTGAATGAAATATAAAGATTCATCAACTAAATTGACAACAGTCATCACTTTCAAAATCTGCATTCAAACTGACCAGTGCATCCAAAAAGAGGCTCTGTCTGAAAACTTCCGCCCCTGTAGAGGGGGTCAAGCAGGTGTGCATTGGAAACGTATATCTGGTATACAATATGGCAGCAAAAAAACTTACTCATCAAGGAAACGCAATATTCAATGTTATATAAAGCATAATACTCGAAGTAAAATAAATTGATTAAAAGTTATGTTTGACTATTTTTTACGAATATCTCCCCCATTAGTGCCTTAAGAAAACAAGGTCATCTAGAGGAATAAAACATGTGGTCATAATTTAAACTGTTCACAATCCTGTGTAAGATGAATGCAGATTCCGTCTAAGAGCTAAGCCAGAAAACGTCTAACAAAAATACGCCTAGGATTTAAGGTGGAATCCGCCTAAGATATGAGGCGGAAAACGGTTAAAGCTTAGACATTTTCCATGTCCGCCTTAGGTACGGCTTGGTCCTCCTAGCACTTAACCGGAATCCGTCTCAGTCCGCCCGGACTCCGGCCGGAAAACGGTTAAGAGTTTCGTACGGGAAGCGTCAAAAATCGGCCGCAAACCAATTTATATAACTGTTGAAGTTCCTTTCAGAAACTTAAATTTGCTGTTTTTAAAAATAAATTCTTCAGAAACTGAAATTTACTGTTTAAAAAAAATTCTTATATTTATCTGTTAAAATATCCTCGTGACATGAAAAAAAAAATGCATGCGACAATGCCGATTGCATAATGCATGTACAGTATTACATGTTTAGGCAATATAAACTATGCAATAGTCCTCTGCGTCTCTGCACTCAGTTTGGTACAACTTGCTGTTTAAGTAGTTTTTACATTAAAAGTACAAAACTAAAGTTTAAACTTAGCTATAGTTTGACCTTAATAAAAACGCAACAAATATTTAACATGTGGGCAGGGCTCCTCGCTCTCTCTTATAGGATGTTAACCCCCCCCCCCCCCAACTCCTTCAAGATCCACCACTACACTTTTTCTCTTTCAATCTCTTTGTTTTGGTGTTGATATGTGGCGGGAAAATGTTTGGCACATTGTAAAACGCGCCCTATCACAGTCTCCTGGACCAACATGTCGTAATATTCTTTGCTTTTAAGAAATCAATATTTCATCATGTTTTTGAAAAATATCCATAGGAAATGTTTAAATATACATTTCATTCAAATTAATACAGCAGATCCTGTTTTAAAAAGAGAAAGTAAAATTGTTGATTTACAACGTGGTCTTTGTTTTAGACTATGCCTAACACTCCTACTAATTTTCTCCGCACTTCAGTTAAATCAGAGTTTGTCAATCAGGATTGGATGAAATATTTACCCCATTATTTATAAAATTGAATTTTACGGTTATTGTGCTTTTTCCTAAACATTTAGAAATCTTTGTTTAATATTAAAACGCCGGCGATATGATGTTGAATATTTTTATTTAAATTGTTAGCTCCGCAGAAACGCACAGGGACTTAAAACTTTCATATCATATAACCGACCGCCTCCTGGCGGCCGGTAATGAATGAAGACTAGACCCGGGTCCCTACACCATGTGCACATGCCGATCTCCCGAAGAAAATAAATCACGGAGCAAGAGAACGAAAATACATACCAATGCATATTCATCACGATAACTGAAAACATATAGTCGTAAGAACGATTAAATCCAACAAATAGCCAGTGAAACGCGGCGATGTCAACACTGCCAATGCACTGCAAACAACTCCTGTTCGACGTCATTTTTCGAAGTACGACGTCACAGGTACACTGTTTTCCCGAACTTTCTCTCTGTATCAAAATGGCGTATAGGCATTGTACGTAATATAAGGTATTCTGTCAATAAGATACATCATTTA